TTTTTTTTTTTTTTTTTTTTTTTTATCTACTGTAACAAAGTGGAGAGTTCCTGTTTTGGGTAATCTTTAAAGTGGCTGGGTTTTGTTTCTTTGGATCTTAGATAGGGTTAGAGAACAGGCGAGGAAGAAGGGTTTCCTTTATTTAGGTAAAATAAAAGTGGAAGTAGAAAGGTAGAAGCAAGCAAATTTTATTTATCCTGTTTCTGGTGTATACTGTTTCTGCTAAATACTATCACACTGAGAAAAATCAGCTTATTTTTTAAAGAGGTGACACCAAATTTTGCAGTTCTTCAAGGCTGATTTGATGGGAATTTTGCTCAACGGAAAGCTTAAATAATGACTGTAAAAATTTGGCTATATGTACAACTTATTTTTTGCAACTAAATAATATTTCCATAGTACCCAGGTTGGTGTTGTTTAATTACAGAAGCAATAAAAAATCACACAGGTTGTTTGAGATTCACATCAGCTTTTGTTGATATTAAATAGGTATGATGATGCTATCCAGTTATATGACAGAATTTTGCAAGAAGATTCAACCAACACAGTAAGTTAAACAATTTCCTTGAAAATATAAAGCCAAATTGTTTCAATTTAAGCTGACATTTTTCTTGTAGCACTGTAGTGAAACAGTTATCTGATCATGTTTGTGTCTTTTAACTTCTAGCATAATATTTTAACATTCATTTTTGGAATTAAGTTTCTTCTATGAAAATAATTAATGTTTACATTTTTAAAAAAATACTGAGTTGAGAGCTCATTTCTGTAAGTGATGGCCCTTTACATTTATCTTATGGGGTTTGGATCGGATCTTTTAAGTATTAAATGTTGGGGGATGGTTTAGTGATAAACTGCTTTAAAGACTGTATAGTTTACCATGCATCTCCTAGCCCATTTCTTAATCATATTTGAAAATCTACTTTGAGTTGCATAGTATTTATCTCAATCTGGAAGTAAGCTTGCTCTTGAGTGAACCTGCAGTCTACGGTACAGCTTGCCTACGTAAAAAATAACTGAGAGGAAATTTTAGGAACTTGATGTCTTCAGGCACATGCATTGCAACAGTACAAAATGTGTAGTAGTACAGAAAATAAAGTGCTGTTGGCAGCCATATGTTCAAAGTCCCCTCCAGCTGCAGGGTGACAGAGTTGCTAGAATGGCATAACCTCCACCCAGAGGGCGATCAGGGGCTGCTCTATAGATCTGACCGGATTTCCTCTCCCCCTCCCCCTGACAGCCTTGCAAGCCCTTTAAAATTATAGGGGTTTTAGAGGTTGCATGGGCAGCCTGAGAGCCATTTAAGGTACGCTCTTGGGCTGCCCTGTAGCAAGGAATACAAGTTTCTCTGACTGGGCAGTCTGTGGCCCGGCAGCCCTGTCCCTGTTGCTGTTGTGCAGCAATGGGGAGGGGGAGCCAGCATTCCTTCCTGATAGTTAAAGCTGGGTGGGCTTTGGGGGAGTCAACTGCTGCACCCTCTCTCTCCCTTTTGTGGGGGACAGAGAGTAGAGCACTGTGGGATTGTGGAAGGTAGAGACCTGGCCAAACATGACGTTTGTTTGAGCACAACAAAAGACATACTGTCTGAATCGGACTTCGGTAATGATTAACTTTTCCCATTTCTACCATACTGGCAGCAGTTTGTCTGTCAAAAGTGTAGCATAAGTTGGAAATTACCATAACGTAGTTTGCTAATGGCTTTGTAGTCTCTTGTGGACTCAGATCAAGTTTCATAACATTCTTGAAGTATTTAGTGTGACGCTTAACTGCTTCCAAATTCTGTTACAATCCAATAAGGAAAAGCAGATTATATGCCTCTCGTTAGTTCAGTAATGGCTTCTCAGCCTCTTGTGGACTTGGATTAAGTTTTGTAACATTCTTGAAGTATTTTTAGGTCTTAATTCTGCCCTCTGTTTTGTTTATCAGGCTGGCTATATATCAGTTGTGTTTGCCTGGCTAATGAAAGCCTGATAGATGATGTGAGCCCTTACAAACAAAACAATACTTTTTTTACATTTATAAAATGGCAATTACCAGCTTCAGGCATCAGCAAAATCAGGGCTGTTCAATTTTGTAAGCTGTCAGGGGCTGCATGCTGTGCAACCTGCACCGGGGCAAGCCACAGGCCACATGGGCTATACAATGCATGGATGGATGTCCCCCTCTGTACCTCACAGCTCCGCTTTCCCCCACTCCCTCTCTGTGGGGGCCTTGATCTGCCCCTCCACGTCCGTTCCCTTTTTCCTTCCCTTTCACCACAACAGACTTACCAGCTGCATGCAGCTCTCCAAGCTGCTGGCCTGTGCTCCTCACTGCCTATGTGTTGTGCTGCGGCTGCACGCATGCAC